TTTTTAAAGGATTTTATCTGTTTAGTTTACAAACATTTTGTTCAGACACGTATATAAAGCATTGACATTTCCTTAGATATGACATATCAAACGTATAAATTTCCAAATAATATTCAATTATAGTCTATTGTTTTTTTTTCTTATTTTTTGGGAAAACACAATTGATTGTTATTTAGATTGGTTATTTAGGAATTGATTTATAATTTCTATTTTAATTTTTACATTTATAAAGTAAATTTTATAAGACATCGTCTGTGGATATTTATTCAAAGTATACATTTTCTAGGCCATAAACCGATGAATAAATATATTATAGTATGAGACAACCAATGAATTAATAATTAAATAAGGTTTATCATAAATAATTTGTTTCTTCTTCTCGTATCTTATATGTTCTTAAATAGAAGCGATCAGTCAAGGAATATTTTCATTTCTATTCGAATGTTAATTTTGCATAGAAAAATTTAATTTTCTACTCTAAGAGTTTATTGTGCTATTTTTTCCAATTAATTAGAAAATTTTAAGATAAAACGGATTATGAAATAAGTGACTTGTATTTAATTAATTGTTTCCCGGAAAGTAAATGAAAATTAGCACGACTTTATATTAAGCGCCTGACTACGCCATCCATTCATTTTACTCATTACGTTAAAATGTACAATTCAATTCTAATAATATTATAAAACTATTTTTAAAAAATACGCCAACAATGTCTTCTAACTAAATTATGTACTTTATTTGAACATCGTACAATACGTGTAAAATATAAGTATGATTAATACAGATATGTAACTGTAAGACATTAAGTATAATGAATAATTTTCTATACATCAAACAGTGTTATAATTGTAATATGCATGTATTGAAATGCTTATATTTGATTTTTATAATATTTTATAAAATTGTATTTAAACATTTTGCAGATTGTAGCTTATTATAAAATTGAAATTGAAAACACATTTACTTCTATATCGCATCACATTATTATAATTTATGTTTTATATATTAGCTTAGCTATTTTATATTTAAATAAAATATCTTATATTATTTTAAATAAATACATTATTATCTTTATTTATATAGTTTAAAGTATCGTATATTAAAGCAGCATAACATAATTAAAGTGACAATGCCATTAGTAGATAGAAAATGCATTTTAATTAATTTTAAAAGTAGAGCAAGTTTTTATAAATGCCTGTATAAATTAATATACTGATGTATTATTTTTACAATATTACGTCCATTTTTCTAAGAAATATGAGCCACAGAAAGCATTAAAAGCATAAAATGTCCTTCTTTAAGCGCAACAAAAATATAAAATAAATTTATTCAACGAAGTTTGGTTGTAATTAAATTAATGAATAATAATATGTGAAATTTATGAAATTGCAAATTGTCCTTCACAATTACAAGATATAATGATGAAAAATTTAGATATACACATTTGTATTATGTTTATGTACATTATACGTTTATTTATTGGATTTACGATAAGTAATGTAAATTAAACACTAAGGGGAGACCATTTTAGATCTGGTTTGTAGCGAAAAAGTTTTTTTAACGAAACTTTTTCATGGCTTTGGAAGAAATAATTCTAATTAAAATTCGACGACCTAAGGCTTCTCTGAAGATATTTTATGTCCAAAAGTAATTTTCGTTTAATTTAATGTGCACAATATCAATTATTGGATAGTTATTGATTCTTCGGTATCGTGAATGTATTGGTATCAACACATGTGAGAAAATTAATGATAAATTATTTGGACACGCTGACCGATTAAATTTATCATTTTACTATTAAGTATATTTATATATACATCAAATATATTTTGTGTTATTTACCAAATCTTAAATATTCTAATAACAATTTTTCGAATATTAATTAAATTATCGATTAAAGATGAATAAAAATTAATAATTGTACGGAAATCGGCTGGTTTAGTATCGAAGGGAATAATATCGAAACATCAGTCTTGTTGAAGGTGATGCAACTATTTCCGAATAATAATACGTTTTCATTCTCTTAACGATGACATTCACAATGTCCTTATTTGATTAAAAAAAAAAAAATTCTTTTTTTTATTTATAGCATTGCAACAGTAATAAATATTGTATTATTGCATGTACATAACTTATTTTAATACTGCACGAGCAAAAAGTGTGCACTTATAGTTTGTAAATACGCGCGCCAGAGTTAAGTATTTTCTGCAATAATAAAAAGATAATTATTGGCCTCTGTGAATGTGGTTTTTCTCTCCCTACAATTTGAGCCCAATGTACACATGCACGGACAATGTCATGTTAATTCCGAGGAGAATTATCTAAGAATCCTGTATAATTTAATGCAATTATAAAAGACCCTTGAGAAACGGAATTTATCTCACTTATTAGATAAGTGACGAGCTAGCCTTACTCGGTTAACATTAGAGATTCAAAGCTGATGTTTGAACAATAGAGATATCTATTTTAATAGAAAATAGCTCTTGTGTAATGTAGCTTTGATTTGACACTATCGGATGACAATGCAAACTTCTGCTTTTGTAGAATCAATGCACGCACGTGCAAGAATTTTTATTCGCGTATCGTTCCCTCGGCAAATGTAACGGGTGACAAAGAAAAAGAACTTAACTTGGCTGCGCAAATTAGCGCCAACGACATCGTCTATCCTCATTAATAGAAGAATGGTGAGTGCAAAACAATATTTCATTCCTTGGAAAAACATAATTCTTTGCAATATTTTATTCGTAACTTTTCTGCAATTTACGTCACTCTAAGTGGCGAATGTTAGATAAACGTAATAATAATATAAAACAAAACAAACAAAAATCCAAAACTTATAACTATTAGATCAAAAGCTTTAATCCATCCTTTATTTACAAAAATGAAAGTGTTTATCCAACATGAAAAACAACAAAATTACTAATATTTAGATATCACTGGCACGTTTGCTGTATCTTCATAGAAACTCCAAGCCATTTGAGGATATTCGATAAGGTCTCTCAAATACGTGTAACGAATTTGCGAAGTGGCTGTCCCTTTCAAGCGAGGGTGAGTGAAAATCGTAGTTCGCAATCAGCAACGAGCAGGAGTTGCTCTGATTTTCGAGGTCGTCTTTGTTTTTTTTTCACACACTTTTCCACTTTAAGAACAATCCGACGAAGGGGCGCAAATGGCGAGTGTTGCCAAGGGTGAAACCTCTTCGTGTGATCGAGAAGTGCTTTTTTCTTCCTCGTCACTTTGCGACGTACTTCATTACAAAACTAGAAAGAAAAAAAACTTTAAAAGGAAAAATGTGAAAAGGCGGGAGCGATAAATAAAAGAGTATTGGATCTCTCGCTCCTTTCTTCGCAACTTCTGAGAAATAAAATCTCAGCGAAGATATATTGAAAGGATAAAGAGTTGAATATTAAGATAAAGAGAGAGAGAGATGATATTTCTATTTCATCTCTTTTCTTGTGTTTGTTCAATTCTGCTTTTTTACACGCATTCTCTCAGTTACGCAATAGACTTGATTTTATAATTTTCTCACACTTTGTGCTCCATTTCAAATGAAAGATTATCGTCACTTTTCATTATAAAATTACTAAAAAGTTTTCGTTCTTAAACGTTTTGTTTTTTGTTTTTATAATGTAAGTTGTACTCAGTTTAAATACTTTTTTGTAAGTTTCGATTGAATGCGATGAAGTAGAGGGGAAGGAATTGTAATTTATTCAAATACCTTTGGTTGGTATGTAATTTTAATATAAGAATTGAGTGTAAAATTGTTGCGATAATAATATTAGAAATTTCAGATAAGCTGTCATAAAAGTTTTATAGTTCAGTTTTACTAACGTTTAAAAAAATAAAATCAAAATATTATTCATTAAATAAATTTTTTTTTAACTTCAAACAAATGAAAATAGTTAGAAATAGTTGAAAAGATCATTCCAAAAGTATTTTCTTTCATATTTATTTTAATATGCGATGTTTCCACAGGGAATAATATTCCTTGATAAATTTTTATATAAAATATAACGATTACTATTTCACAGAAGCTTATGTCTTATATATTACAATTCAGAGTATTCTAATTATTTTATTGTTATTGACAAATGGGGATTGTTAAGACGATTAATGAAGTTAGCGGATAATCGATCAAAATTTACTTAAATTACCAATCGAAATTTACTGCGTTTAAGTTATTTAGATCACTGCATATTTACAGTTCTTTCATTCCAAATGATAATATAATGTTCTTAATGCTTATAAATGACAAAATGATTAAATAAATCATTCTATTTAACTCACTGGATCCGTAAGTGAAATTTTTTGCAATCATAATTCTCGTTTATAATGAATTAATAACAAAAGTTTAAAGAATTAATATAATAAACTCCGTATGTGAAACATGCGCTCTTTACTGTCACGAATATAAAAATTTACGATTAAGGCGTGAATAATTCTATTTATAACATCGAAAAAAAGTATCACCTTACTATCGAAGAAATTTACATAATGTCTATTTTCTTTCGCATTTCTATTGTAAAGCATTAATTAACTATAGTTAAGTGTTTTAAAAATGCTTCGTATTTAATAAATATTATTATTGAACAAGATCATTTAACAATGCCCCTTATGACTAAAAAATCTTTGAATAATTCACGCCGCAGCTGATTAAAAAGAAATCTCGTTTTTGCTTTTTTATTGTTTTTTCGCTCTCTCTCTCTCTCTCTCTCTCTCTCTCTCCCTGTCCATCTATCTATCTATCTATCCGAAAGCTTAATCTCGCACAAATACATTAGGGAAGCGTTATAACGGACAGGCGCCAATGCAAGGAGAAACCCTGCATAAATGTCAGCGCGGAATAAAGGGTGCGAGAGCGATGATGTATGTAGCCGTTTAGGTGGAAAAACCGACGATAGAGATAAGTTGAATTCCAAATCGATGATCGAGTGGCGGTGAGGGTGGGAGGTAAAACGACAAAGTCAGAATTAACTATAATAGGATTTTATTTGTTTCAGGAGAACGGGCGAACTTCGTTAATAAGCCCCACGTGATTGCGATGGTGGGTTTACCAGCACGTGGCAAGACCTACATCTCAAAGAAATTGTGTCGCTATCTCAACTGGATCGGCATCAACACGAAGGTATATAATCTCGGGGAGTACAGGCGGCACGCGACCACCGCTTATCAGTGCCACGACTTTTTTCGCCCGGACAATATCAAGGCCATGGCGATTCGCACCCAGTGCGCGATGGATGCTCTTAACGATGTGTGCCAGTGGCTCGAGTCCGGGGGTGGTGAGGTCGCTGTCTTCGATGCCACTAACTCGACCGTCGAGAGACGTCAGCTCATACGCGACATCGTCGTCAAGAAGATGGGCTTCAAACTATTTTTCGTCGAGTCCGTGTGCAACGATCCCGAGATCGTCGAGCAGAACATTATGGAGGTCGGGTGACCAACTACGCCGTGTCCCCTTGCCTCCTTTGCCCTTGCCCCTGCCCTTTTAACACCGGGATAGCTTACGACTACCTCGAAGGCGCACCGATCTCTTAGTCAATGTCTCATTTTGCGCCTCGTTTCCTAATTTCCCTTTCAATAATCTCTGCTTTCGTTCGTTTGTAAATTATAATTGCCGTACCTCGTAGGCAGGGAGCTTGTGCTCATTGCTTATACTCGAATTTCGATTTAACATTCACAACACTGTTGTGCACAATTGGTCCGCCGCAAATTTTACAACTCTCTATTTTTTCATGAAACTTGAACGCGCGTCCATTACCTAATTATCGTCGAATATTTCCAATAAACTTTACTATTTTCGATGTTTCGTGCGATTTTACGTGTCGATGAGCAAAGTAATTTAAATAAAGTTGCGATATTACTTATTATACGACTAAAATTTCAAACTGATAAAATATAGTGAACGAGACCTTTGACCATTGGGACTAACTAACAACCCTATTAACCTTCTCCCGCTCATTTATTCTTTCTCATTCAAAATCGCCGCTTTTCACGTTTAAGCTTATCAATTTGGTGGCGCCATTTACTTTCAATTTTTATCGTTTTTGACATTCAACAGATCTTTCAATAATGACACATGTTTTCTACACTAAGGACACGTTCTTCGTACTGTAAACGTGTAATAATTGATCGATAAATGACTTCACTTTTTTTGTAAGCGTATGGCACAAGGGTACATGTATTTGTGCGTTAATTTATATTCCATGCATATGTGGCATTAGTTTACTTATAAGAATTTTTGCAAATTGATAATCGAAGTAATATTCAATTTTTAATAGCCGTAAAGTCATCGTAAAAAAGTTAAACGATGGAAATCACAACGACCTACTATAATAATCGCGCGAGACATTCTAAATTGCCAGCCAATAACATAACCATTTTCTATCGTCTCCTCGCGTCTCTTACATCGCATGTTCTCTTAAGCGAATGGCCTTGCTGTGGAGAGGGTGTATGGTCACAGCATTTGGCCAATCGATGCTGCAACGTCCCCTCGCCCGGATAATCAGCGCCACATTGTCTCGTGTGTGTCTCAGGTGAAGGTAAGCAGCCCAGACTACACCAACATGAACAAGGAGGAGGTTCTCGCGGACTTTATGCTTAGGATCGAGCACTACCAGGAGAAGTACCAGCCCCTGGACGAGAAGTGCGAGAGCGACCTCTCGTTCATGCAGACCTACAACACGGGCGAGAAGGTTCTGGTACACAAGCACGAGGGACACATACAATCGCGCATCGTTTACTACCTAATGAACATACACATAGTACCGCGTACTATCTACCTCACTAGGCACGGCGAGAGCCTCATGAACCTGGACGGGCGCATCGGGGGCGATTCCGATCTCAGCGACCGGGGCTGCGAGTACGCCAAGGCCCTCGGCAACTACATCGCCGAGCAGGACATTCAGCGGCTCAGGGTCTGGACGAGCTGGCTCTGCAGGACCATACAAACGGCGGTACACGTTAACGCACCCCAGGAGAGGTGGAAGGCTCTCAACGAGATCGACGCAGTCAGTATATTTTCTCACCTAATTGCCTTAACTTGCCCAGTTGCTGCTGCTCCCAGCCATCTGCCTCCATCACTAAGCTCGATCGGTTAAGTAACGAACGGCTCGCTGATCGCATTCGATGGAAAAATTCATTATCGATCGCCGCCATTACCAATTAAATTGCGTCAGGTTGAGTTAAGTTCGTAAAAGATGCGTCCATGGATACGTTGCCACCGACGGACAACTTCTCCTCGGTGCTTTCATGATAAAAAAAAATCCGAATTTTATGTGTCGGTATCGCACTAAGCGATAGTAGCTGCTTTTAATGCCTTATATGGCACTTTGTATTGCATGTTGAAACCGTTGAATTTTCAGTTGTTGCGGTGCATTGTGCTTTGGGGCTCGTTTAATTTATCTTTGAACGAAAGATCTCATAGCAAGTGTTAACGCATCGTCGATCGACGGTTAAATTTAACCTGCTCGACTACAGACAATAATTAGAGAGGAATACGAAGGATAAAGGCCATAGGTGGATAAACAAAAAAAAAAAAAAAAAAAAAAAAAAAAAATAAATAAATAAATAAATATGCCCTCGGAATTAATTTACCGTAGCTCGAATCCTGTCCCCAAGAAAATTCTCAATGCGATGTTTTCTCAATTTAATGTAAATGCTGCCTGTAATGTAATTACGTGTATTTCAATTCACCACTATCCATTACAAAAATATTATATCGAATTGTGCTATAAATAAACGACAATACCTGTTGCATATTTTACGGATTATTTACGTATTATTACTTATCGGAGTCAAACTGACGAGAGTGGTAATAATTCAAAGAAACATTTGGCAACGAAAATTAATAATCATTGAGAGAACATTTAGACATGTTCGCGGTTAAAATGTAAATTTTTATGTGATTTACGGCGAATGAATGTCGGCTAACTAAAGTCAATGTCGGTATTGTGGTTTCGGGTGTAATCGCTCGTGTTAACGATATTACTTAAATTGCCTCATATATCAATCAATCGTCTGTTCTATTTGCTCCAAATATATTCGTGCAGGTTTTATTTTTCCACGTATCTTAATCTCTAATGCTTAGCTAATATTAAAAAGTGCAGCGCTTAAGATATTCTTTTTTGCCATTCGTATTAGGTTTTGAAATTAATCTGTATTAATGCATGCATACGTCCAAGGAAGTAATTTTTCTTTTAAAACATCGCGAATTTCGAAGATTCACGGGCAATAAATGCAACATCCTTAGTTAATAAATAATAATTTGATTATTAAAGTCGGAGCGCTCTTACGCATTATTAATTAATTAATTAATAATATGTACCATTTGGGCCGGTAATTTGAATAAAACTCTTAAGGTGCCATAAATATATTAGATGCTTAAAGGAAGTCATATCGGGCCGACTTCGATTAAAGTGTCCATGCAAAACTAAAATTTCTTTCAACCTCCATTCGAAAAGTATTACAAATTAAATTTTCATTTAGAACCTTATTTCTTACCCTGGCCATAAATAATCTATCAAACATCCTATTAACCGTCTCTACGGGTGAGGCAATTTCGCCACAACGAGAGGGTCGGAGGAGGGAGGGCGAGGAGGCCGTCGGCAATTGCCTTGGAGGGTTATTAAGTAATTATATGGCGAGAGGAGAGATGGGCCTCTAGTCGGTTAAGAATTTTTAAGAGTTAATAGGGTTGAAGACGTGACGTATCCCCTTTTAAATATCCAACTCTGCTCTTATAACAGATATTTCCGGCTTAGACTCCCTTGAAGTGCGATTCACTTTGTCACGGCCGATACCTTGGCCAAATCCGAGAACATCCAACGTCGTAATAAAAGACTTGAGCAATGCACCGCACGCCCGTAGCATGCAAAGTATCCTGTTTAAAGAAAACAAAAAAATAAAAACAAATAACAAACAAAGTTGGCCGACCAAGGAGATGCGCACGGAAAATATTACAAGAAATTAAAAAAATTATACCCCGACTGGTATATCGCTTATTTGCTTTTGCCGAGTCGCGCGTTTTTCCAGCGACTTTATAATTAAATTGCAACCTCGTGTGCTCGCGCGCTTTTAAAAACCGATTAATACCTCTTCGCTAATTGATTTCTACCGAACAAAACGAACCGTCGATATTTCTCCATTTATTATGGCCGTGTAAGCTTATAACGAACGGATAAGTATTTTATAACTCTTAATTTGCGAAAATTTCGGCGTTTGCTCGTCAATTTAATAGATAACGATGCAAAATGCATTAGAAAACAACGTCGACTGATTGTCCTTGAATAAGAACGAACGACATTTATTCCGTACTTTATATAACTCAACGGCTCGAGTCAATTGCCCATACAATGCTAGAGTATACTAATTCGAAATCCTAAAAGTTGAACTTTTGCGCTCCGACGGTCAGGTGGTACGCCCAGTATTGCCAAGAATGTGGTCGTAAAATTAAAAGTCACGTCTAACAGTCTCGCGTCGTTCTTATGCCAGGGTATATGCGAGGAGATGACGTACGAGGAGATCGAGAGCAAATACCCGAGCGACTTCGCGGCCCGAGACCAGAACAAATTCTCATACCGCTACCCGCGAGGCGAGAGCTACGAAGACCTGGTGGCGCGGCTGGAGCCGATCATAATGGAACTCGAGCGCCAGGGGAACGTCCTCGTGGTAAGCCACCAAGCGGTGCTGCGCTGCCTTCTCGCCTACTTCCTCGACAAAAATGCTGGTAAGTAAAGTACTACCCTTAGCGGAAGGAATTCAGCCTTGTGACTTCATACCTGTCCTTATCCACGTCGCCTCTTGCCAATAGCTCGTCCTAATCTCTCTCCAATCTCCTTATATTTTTAAAAGCTGTAGGATGCCATATTTATACGTCAGAGCGTGAGAGACCGGATCTGGAGATTTTTTAATTTTTTGTCAAACGGTGATATTCGGATCGATGTCGAATGACTCAATAGAAGGGGTGTATCTATTACGTCATACTTCTCTCCATTACCAAAGAATATCGTAAACATTGTACGATTATTAATAAAGTAAATTCCATGGCTTATCTAGGGCTTATCAACAGCACTTAAAAATATTTATTGAATGGAAGGCGTTTTTCCCCTTTTTTCTCTAATGGTTCTAGTATAAATAATGAATTTAGAAATTACTTCAACTATTCACTGTAGCGTATTAGTGATAAATATTCAAGGAGACCTAAAATGTAGAATTTTATTTGATAACAAGGAAAAAGGATTTGCCTTACATACAATTAATGCCCATCCTTATCTTTCCGTAATTTCGATTTTAAATTCAAATTTCCTTTATTCAAACGAATCTTCAAATTTTAATGTCTTTTCGGAATATCGAAGGGCAGACTTTTGGCTGCCTTCAAAAAAGCTCTGTCACGATAAATTTCTCACCTTTTGCCGTTGATCGATTTTTCATTTTTCATGTGTTATACGTAGATATGATATATCAAAATGAATTTTATCTTTTCAATTTTTCATTATTTATTTATGGAACATAATTTACGAAAGATTGGTATTTCACTTGAACAAATTTTACATTGCTTTCTCGTAAAGAATTATTGATAAGAAATACTGATCATTGTGTATTTATGGATCTTATAAAATAAAAAAACATGCAGGCGAATGCAGGCTTTTGGAACTCGTTTCAAACATTTTATGATACATCATTACTAATTATTCCATGGCTCTAGTCCATCGTTTAGGAGAAAATATTTTCATTTAAATGAGCTACATCGAAGTTTTTAAGTTTTTAAGTTCTGAAAAGTATTCGTAGTGAGTAATGTTAGAGTTTGTTAAGGCATAGATTACTTTATAAAGGGAACTAAAAAAAAAGGTCATTGTTAACTAAAACCTTACTCATTGGAGGATCAAATAATCAAATTTCTGATTCTTTTAGCGGCGTGCATCTCAGCACTTATTGAAAAATAAGCATTTTACGATTAGACGTCAAATTGAATCGCAGTATAACGTATGAGTGAGGAGAGCCGACAATTTATTGCTTTGACGATTCAACATTCACGTTTCCAATAATTAAACGCTTCATTATTTAAACGTATTTTTAAAAACTCAACGGCATATTAAAAATACGTATACTTCCTCCATCCCTGCCCTGATTTCTATCTCTCTCTCTCTCTCTCTCTCTCTCACTCTCTCTCTTTCATTCTCCTTTAACCTTTTCAACCCCTTACACAGCCCGGTGAAAATCGATCCAATCCAAACATTACGTTTTGCAGATGAGCTGCCGTACCTCCAGGTGCCCCTGCACACAATAATAAAATTAACGCCCGTGGCATACGGATGCAAAGTGGAGAACATACGATTGCCGATCGACGCCGTGGACACTCATCGACCAAAACCAAAGGTAGAGGTTTAGTGTGTAGACGCGAGGTTAATAGTGAAGCGATGAAAGCACAACTGCTTTACCATCTTATTGTGTTGCCGACTCTCGTCTCTCCACCAAGAGGCGAAAAAACAAAGGCAAAAGCTTGAGAAAAACAAGAGAAAAAAAAAAGTAAACACTGACATTGGCATCGACGCGCACTCATACTTACACCTATACAGCGCGCGGCTATTCATCCCTTGCATTCATACGCGCGTCCAAGTATAAGGAAAATGTATAAGCGCCCCAATCACTTTACATGCTAATAAATAACTGGCAAAGCACGACACGATATGGCTTTGTTATTTTTTTTATCTATGTAAATATGATCATTGTAAATCCCGCCCACCCCCAACCACCCACCCACCCATTACATTTAACCTTCATATGGTGAATTTTTTTTAGTGATTTTGAATTATATAATAGCAGGGACTTGTTCTCAGAAGTGTGTAAAAAATCATGTTTATGTGTCGAATGAAAATTGTGATGAACAAATATAAAAACATTCAGCTACGGAAGCTTAGATACACACATATCACCAAAGTGACTGCTAGTTTAGTGAATTGTTATCATCACTTTGAAATGTTTGCTGCCAAAAATCAAACTACGTGATTCTGCAATGACAAGTGGAAAAGCCTTCGTAAAATAGAAAATGAAGCAATAAACAAAACAAAAAGAAAACTTTATATGGCGACTGAACTATATTTTTTAATTTTTTTCGTTCTTTTATCGACTGTTCTTTCATACCAACAATGTCTTCAACTATGATAACGAATGTTCTGTAATTCCGTTCGATATACTCACACTTTTATGTATTACTCATATTATTACTATTATCTTTATTATTACTACTACTACTATTATTATTACTATTATTATCATCATCACTATTATTATTATTATTATTATTATTATTATTATTATTATTATTATTATTATTATTATTATTATTATTATTATTATTGCTGTTGATGTTGGATAATTATAGTTTTTGAGTATAACAAGACATTGCAATTTAAGACTTCTGGCACTCCAAAGTGACGATTTGTAATTATATTATGGAGCATTTTAATTAAACATTTATTCACCTTTCTTAAAGAATTTTTTTATCCATGATATTTTTCATCCAATTGTCATATATTTTTACTATATATTTTGTTTTAATGAAAATCACTAATACACGTACGTCATAATAATATTAACAAATAATACATATTGCGTTGGCAGAAAAATTACTTTGCGATACGTAGATTATTCACTTATAAAGGTATAATAATAATTATATTAACAATGCAATTAATGATAAATGATGCCTCCTCCTTTCTACTCATACTTAGAGCTTAGATAGTGCATTATTGAAGCATTACAATTAATAATATGATATGATCACCATTAATTTATCTCATGCTTTCTACTGCTGCTTTCCTAGATCTGACAGTTCTCAAAGTAGGTGAATTTTCATTTATCACATACATTAAACATAATGATTATGTAAATTCGTTTTCTCAAAAGTAACGATAATAATACGAATTCGTACGTACGCGTTGAGAAACTATTGATGACTGTAGAACGAATGGCATCGAGAACGTAACGCTGTGTTTTTTCGAAACTTTTCAGATCCCTGGATACCTTGAGGAACGTTTCCGAAGAAAAGGCAATAATCATCACATTTGATAACGCGGACTTTGCAAATATAGAGTTCCTCGGCATATTCTCTCGAGAGACGCGTAACGAAGATAAGCGGCTCTTTGTTGGTCAGCGGGCTGCCATTATACTGCACGAGTAAGAACATTATAATTATAAAAGAAAAACAAAATATAATAATAATAAAAATAAAAAACATTGGAAAGCGATAAACAGGAAACTAATTTTTCAAGGAGTGCAACCATTTAAACCTGACATTTCTCTTCGATATTGTGATCCCTTTCTGCATCTTGACTTTTTTTATATTATACGTTTCATAATAAATTTCCATCTTCAAATTCTCTATAATTATCAGAAAAAAATAAGAAGCTGTTTCTTATCTACGTAATCACATTTTTTTACATCTTCTAATTATTTGTACAAATATACATATGCACATATACATACGAATATTTGAGTAAGCGTGTATGCGGCATATCTACGTACATATACGTAAAGTCACATGCATATTTAGGAGGCTTATGGATTAATGCGTTTCCTTTTTTTTCTTTTATATATATATATATATATATATGTATATATGTATATATGTATGTATGTATGTAACGAGTTATTCTTCAAAATCAGTTTCAATGTAATAGACTTTTGTTTTTTTAATAAAAAACAATAAATATAATGAGTATATTGTACATAAACAAATACAGTTATACACACATATATATATATATATATATATATATATATATATATATAACTATATTTTTTATTTACTGTACCAGGTGAAATGTAATTCAGTGATTACAGAGCAAAGTAATCGAGACAAAAACTTTGCTCCTACATTGCTTTTCCTATAAATCTTCGTTATATCTTCGAATATGCCTAACGAGGGGAGTTCAGCATATTATCGTGCTGAAAATAAATCTTTATTGCAGAAATATTTTTTCATTTCAAACGATCGATTGAGAATCGTCGTTATTTATTCAGATTGATAATAAATAAGAAAATTATATTAGATTTAGATTACAATTTTATATCTATACAATCCATACAATTGGTGTATGAAGTTTTTGTAACGAATCAATAATCTAATAATGGCATCGATACGTAAAGCATCTACTTTCAAATTTTATCTGTAATAAACAAACAAGAGTTGAATTCATACTATTTTTTATAATTGTAATATTAACAAAATACCACATTGGTCTTAATTTTATAATAAAAATGTAAATAAATATATGTGTAACGTCATTACAACTAGGAAATTACGTATTCGTAATTAAATGAATTCATATTTAAATTTGTGAATTTTGAGACCAACATATTATATAGTAATCATTGGTACAAACAGGATATCTAAGATTAATTGTAATTAAAAATTACTTTTCCATGCAAATAAGTCAAGTAAAAGATTATGTTATATCCAAATTGATTTTGGATAATAAATATGCAATAAGCTTTATCTAAATCAAAATTACGCATAATTAATTAAACCCTTTTTGATAATTCTACAAACATAATTTTTTAAGAATTTTTCAATGCCGTTTAAACGATAAAGGATCCTTTATCACTTAGATTTACATTCGCCAACTAGCCCATAACCTTTAGAGGACAATATTGATGTGAAAATTATATCGATTAATTTATATTTGATATATTATTACTATATTAATACTAATAATAATGTTTAAATCATCGAGTAATTACTAAATAGAATAATTCCAAACTATGGATTTTGAAAAAATTATGATTTTCAAAATATGAATTTGAAAAAAGAAGAATTTAAAATATGGGCGGAGAAAATGTCGCTGTCTAATTTCTTAATAGAAACGATGAATTTCATTAGTCACATAAAAATTAAATAATAATACTGTTTAAACGTTTGAAGACGAAATTAGATTAAATAAAAAATGTGTTTGTGGTAAAATTGAACTTCCAGTTAATACAAGAATATACAGGGATTACAGTTCAAATTTAGGAATAAAAATATAAAAACATATATATGTGTGTGTGTGTGTGTGTGTGTGTATACACTATTTATTTACAAAATGATTAAAAATTACGTTTCTTTACAAAAGATGAAAAAGAACTTTATCATTAGTCTGTTTTAAGTTTCATATTTTATATTACAAGGTTCCAATTAATTTATAGCAATGTAATGCAATATTTATAGCATTAAAATTCTCTTTAAATAACAACATTTTATATTGAAGGTATTCTTTTAATAGGAAAATAAATATAAGACAAAAATCGTGTATTAGCTAAGAGTGGAAGGACCGTTGTAATATTTCAAATATTTGGCATACATAAAATGATGTAATAATTAATGCTAATAAAAAAATCTTTTTAAGCTTCTTTCATTAAGTTATAACATTTTATTGTACAAAATAAAGTATAAATCTTTTATTTCCGCTTACGGAATACAAGTAATTTTTATGCCCTTATTTCATACTTAACTACTACTATTATTAATGTAATATAGTAATTCATTTAAATTAACAATTTGTAATTTTGTGTTGCAATTATTTTGGTTTATAATATTTATTTCATTAAATTTTCGATTGGTTTTCTGTGTATATTATTATTAATTAAGCTGACTAATTAGAAATTTCAGATTGCTATTTGAGTTTCCGTTTCTTTCTGTTATATTGATTAAAACACGTACCCACGCACGCACGCATATATATATATATATATATTTATTTTCATTATGAATTGATTTCTTTTTACTTTATTTTTCCTCACCTTTCTGAAAGTTTAATTTTTTTATTTGATATTTTACATTAATATAATGTTTTTTTATTTATTCAATATTAATTTATATATTAGAAAATAAAGTTTGAATCATATTTTAGTAGTTTATTTATTTTACATGAAAATCCAGATATGTGTACTGTATATTAATTCACATAAATGGATTAATAAGATGTTAATTCGTTAAATAAATAAATTTTAATAATCATGTGTTTTTCTATCCCATTTATATAATTAATTTTTCAAATTTCAATAATAGATAATATAATTTTAATATAATTTTGATGATTTCATTTATGATTTTAAATTGAATAATATTGATCCAAATAATAATGTAATTACTATTATTAACTTCTAAAATTATATTAATAATTATGAGTATAAAATTCAAGCAGTTCAAATAGTCTCTTTTCTTCTATTATTTTCTAAAATTTTGCTGTAATTACATTTAATGCAACTTCTTGGTTTACTAATATGTACAATAAAAATTTTGTTTTTTTTACAATAAAAGAAAAAGTAGATTTATAAATATAAAAACTATTTGTAATTTATAATTTTGTTGACATTACTTTATTAGAGTAATGGTGAAAATATGTTTTTGTCATTGCCATAAATTACAATCACTTAAAGAATATTTTTACATTATACATTTAACTAAATTAAATTCTATTCTAAATTATAGGAAATATATATTAATAATTGATATCGTTTTGTTCAAGTTTTATATAATATATTTACATACTGTAGATATTTACTACAGTACTACACAACTTCTAAACCAACAGATTCAGGATCCAAAGTTGCTTTTTTACTTCTCTCACTGGTTTGCTCTAAAACAATAGTACAATAAATTTATAACGAAATTTAAATATTTTAATGAGTTTATAATTATTAAATTACCTTCGTGAAAGTGTTTTGCGGTACGTTTTCTAAGTTCCTCAATGTCTTCATGCTTTTGAGCCCATTCTAACACTAATCGACGCCCGTATAAATGAGTACTTTGGCATAATGCTTTGAAGGCTCTCTACAATAATAATAATAATAATAATAATAATAATAATAATAATAATAAAAACAAACATGTACTTAATTGTATTTTATTTTAATAAAATGTATAAACATTTTTGTTTACCTTTGCATCTTTTTTCGTATAAAATTCAGCGAAACCAAAACCTCTGTGTTTCTCATCGCCAACCATTTTCTTTGGCAATCTCATAGCCTTCAGTTCTCCAAAAGCCCTAAAATAGTTGAAATATTTTTGTTAGAGATCAGTTACAATAATTGTTATTAAGTTGACGATATATATACTTACTTAAACAAATCCTTAACTTCATCAGCATTCGCTTGAAATGGTATATTTCTTATAAGAATTTTCGTTCCCGTTTGTTCTGTAATTTTAGTCGATTTTCTCGTAGTTTTTACGTCGGTCCTAAAGGTCATTAGAGAAATAAGTTAATAATTATTCATAATAGTTGAGCTTATACTTTATATATAATTTAACTGACTGCAATGTTCTCTCGGAGCGTTTAAGTTCAAGAGATTTTCCGTCTAACGAGCGCATTTGTAATTCCTTCAAAGCTCGTTCCGCGTCTACTTTTAATTTGTATCTTACAAATCCGTAACCCATTGATAGTTTTTTACCGGGATTATTGGGATCTTTTTTCATACTGATATTTGCATAATGCAAGGGGCCACATTTTGAGAAATACTGTAAAATAGAAAATATTAAAAGTTAATAAAATACTCTTGACGTTATGGTAATTGTACCTTTTGTAATTGCTCGTCTGTTGTGGTGAAATTTAAATTTTTTATGAAAAGAGTAGTATCAGGCTCTGGTTCATCCTCGTCCTCATCTTCTTCTTCGTTCTTATCATCATCTTTATTATTATCTTTTTCACTTTCTTTACTGTCATCCGCAATTAATTCTTCCTTAGATTTATCATCTTCAGTATTATTCGTTTCTTTATTTTCTTTTGATGCTTCATCTATCGAACGTTTTGCTTGTGCAGATGTGAAACTATCATCCGGTGCCCATTCCAGATATAAAGGTAAATGTTTGAATTTTGAATAAGCTAATTTTGTAAAAGCTTTTCGAGCTTCCGATGGTTCAACAAACTCGACGAGAGCTACAATGAAAGTATATGATAATGGAATGTCGAATTTCTGTTTTACATTAGCTTTTGCTTTTTACCTGTAACCCCTGTCGGAGGCAGGACTAATCTACCAAGCTCTCCATACACAGAAAACAGTTCCCTTATTTCCTTTATGTGGGTCCCAACAGGTAAATTTTTAACAAGTATTACAGTTTTCGATCTCTTATTCGGTGGCTAAAAAATGTCGAGAATTTAGTTCCACATAAAATTCTTTATGTTTAGCTAATATACCTGGTTAAATGCATTCAAGTAAACGCCGTTGTCTTCCAAAAACTTTTGTGTTTCCAGTACCAGTTGTGTTTCACCTAAAGCTAGACGTACAGCCATACTAGTGCCGTTACTACTATCTTGAAGCACCTACATTAAATAGAAAATATTCTATTAATTATTCATTGTTTCGTTTATAATGTATGATTAAGTGAATACATTTTCTTTTGTAGTATTGTAAGTGGTTGCTATTGCATCCGCAACGGCATTGTGCCCTAAAAAGAGAGTATTCCAGTTATGCGAAGACCCAGCGTTCACTTTATCTTGCAGCTGTTTCCTTTGTTTATAGCTAAGCCCATCTAAAAATGTTATTAGTGTTAAGAGAGGAAAATTGTGATAAATTAAATATATAAATAAATACACGGATTTACACCTTGTAGAAGTAAGTCCTGTGGCGTCGTTTTTGATTTGGCTGGTAGAAGATGGAGCATTCGACCATCCTGGACTGTACCGTCGAGTTCTGTGTAGGCTTTAACCGCATGTTCAGGCATCATAAATGTTACAGTACCAAATCCTTTTGGTTTTCTCGTAATCTTATCGATTGGAAGATTTACCTCAGTCAGTGGACCTTTAATTTAAAATTGTAGTTGAAAATAAGGACTGCCAAGATTAATGGTACGATAAACGAATAATAATTATAAATTCATAGGACCAACCATATTTTTCAAATAGATTTTTAATATCTGTCTCGTTCATCGTATAAGTTAAATTTCTTAGAAAAATTCTTCCCGATTCGGCTACGCTTTCTTCGCTTTTAAGAGTTTCCTCCTGTTGCTTCCATCTCAAGTTTGATGACTTTGTTACGTCTTTTTTAACATCCTCGATTCTTTCATATTTACTGACACACAGCCGCTTACCGTCTAAAATACCAGTACTATAATACCTACATAAAAGATTCTTTTAATTATATTAGCCAAAATATCTTACCTAAAAAGCTTTTATTTTTATTAAGAGCCATTTTCATTTGCTTCTCAGTTTCAAAACCTACATAAGCTATGCCTTTAATTTTACTCGGCACTCTTATCGATTTAGCTTTGAAGCCTTTGAAAAATTGTTTAATATCTTTCTTTTTATGATTATAAGCAAGCCCTTGTATTTTGACAGTAAAAAACTTGTGAGGTCCATAATTTCTCTTTGTTTTTTCAATGTTCACACTTTTTTCAACATTGGATTTCTTTTTTAACGCTTCCATGTATTCTTTGTCCGTAATATCTTTATTAGCTATGGGCATGGTATTAGAATTCTCGTTATCGGTCAATTCGCTCTCATTCGCGTCGCTATCAGCAACATTTGAGGTTACCTCGTTTTCACACAAAGGGAGCAGTACATCATTTTGCCAAACATTGGAATCTCCTTTCATGCGACATTCCATAAATTCCCTAAACATTGGATCGTCAGTATGCTGTTAGAAATAAAATACAATTCAAATTACCACAACTACAAGCAATCCTGAACTTCACCTAAAAACAAAACTTACTTTTTTAAAAATTTCTTTTATTTCATTATCCTTGACATCCTTATTTTTGCTCTTATTCTTCTTTTCATTTGTCACAAAGCCGTCCATGCTTGATTTTTTCGTTCCATCAATCTTTTTCTCATCATCTCTAGTTTTCACATTCTTAGATTTCTTCTTTGCTTTCTCATCCTCGGCCAAATTCTCAGCAACTTGGTTATTCTTCATATGAGCGTTACTGTCTTGGGCATATTTACTCCATGACTTGGGCTTCGACGCGTCACCTAAGTAGATGTTAAAATGAGCTTGTCAAATAGATCAGATCTGTCATTTTACACAACGTGTGAAGAACAAATTCAACCTACCAAGCCCAGAGCAGTATTCCAATGTAATTCTGGAGGTATCGATGCAACTATTATTAAAGAAACGGAGCGCTTCGTCCGCTTGATCCTTGCTTTTAAAACCGACAAAAGCAAATCTCCGAAACTTGCCATCTTCGGTGTATTTAAGCTGCAGATCCGTAACAAGCCCTTTCTCGCTGAACAACTGCTTCAACCTCTTCTCGGTAACCTAAAAACAAAATAATGAACTTCAGAATTCTTCAGGCCCTTTTAAGCCGCACGGATAATAAATAATAAATGTTCGGTACTTAACGTTTTTTGGTAAATTTTTTACAATTAGTCGTGACATGATGGCAGGCTTCCGCGATGGCTGCAACGATCATACGCAGGGCCACTTGGCCGCAAAAGCCGAGGATACAGTTAAGGTCGGATGGCAGTGCGAAGCGTAGACAATTAAGCGCACGTGCGCTACTCCAGTCGCACAGGGTTCGCGGTACCGGCCGCCGGTAACGCTCCTCCGCGAAACCGCTGAGGGATAAAGCAGATCGCGTGGGCGTACACGAGGGCGCGCAGGTGCTTGTGCTTTAACTCATCAGGGTGGGAGAAGCGACGGCTAGGAGGGATGGACGGGGGACGTGGGGAGTCTCGAGTCCAGCTTATTCCGCAGCTCGGTCGGTCCGGCGAGCGCAGGAACCCGCGAGTAGCGTAGCCAGAAAGAGGCGGTCGAGAGAGCAGAGTCACGTGAAATATCTCCCGCTAGTGATTCGGAGCGCGTAGTCAGGAAGGCGGAATAACGCCGAGAGGCCAGGGCCAGCACAGTCGCAGGGGCGCGTGCATGCGTGGTGGCAGTGGTGGTGGTGGTGGTGGTGGTGGTGGTGGTGGTAGTGGTGGTGGTGGCGGTGGCGACGGCAGCGGCAGCGGCGGTGGCGGCGGTGGTTGTGGCGGTGGCGACGGCGGCGGCGACGGCGGTGGCAGCAGCAGCGGTGGCAGCAGCAGCAGCAGCAGCAGCGACAGCAGCAGCAGCAACAGCAGAAACAGCAGCAGCGGCGGCGGCGGCAGTAGTGTTGTCGTTGTGCGGTGGCCGCGAGCGCGCGCGCGCGCCCGTCTCTGATCGCCATTTTACGCGTTGTTTGGCTGCGGTCGCTTCGTTCATAGTGTCGCGCGCCGGACTCGTGGAGACCCTTCGGCCTCCCGTCCGTCCGCGCCTTCCACTCCGGATCGTGACCTCAAGAGACGTCCGCGAGGAGCTGTCGTGGATCGCAGCGGCATACGCCGCCTCCCCCACGGGGAACATGTCGCTCGGCTGCTGCGGAGACGAGCGCCGTAGCCGCGCTTGAATTTTGGAGCTTGAGCCGAAGGAGGAGAGTAGGAGCCCCACCAAGGCAGGCGGTGCCAGGTCTTGTCGAAGGATACAGGCGGATCGAAATCGAGAGAGGCCGTGAGAGAGGCGGCGAGAGTTATCGATAAGGGTCCGTCCCGACGTCCTATCGTCGAGGATTTGCGCGAGTGGAGAGCTGCACCAGCGGGTGGCCACCGATAATCCAGGAAGAGAGAGAGAGAGAGCGAGGCACCAAACGTCGCGATGCAGCAACCGCCGTGGCCCCACGGCCGAGCCCTCCTCTGAGACTCGCTCTCTCTCGCTCTCCCTCCATCTATCGCACTCCCGTCTCGAGCCCCCCTCGGCCCCTAGCGCAGGCTCTCGATCGCGCGCTCTTTCTCTCTCGCGCGCGCGCATCCTTCGTACGTATCTCGCCGCGAGTGCGTGCCGTCTCTCTTCGGCCCTCTGGCTCGCGCCGTCGTCGTAGGCGCGCGTAGCTCGAGGAACCGGAGTGAAAAAGAGAGAGAGAGAGAGAGAGAGAGAGAGAGTGAGTGAGTGAGTGAGAGAACACAGTTAACTCACACAATCATACACACGCACGACGCGCACGCACGCAACAAACACAAGGGGGAAAAACAACCTACACACGTACATACGTGCATATCCGAAGCTTTCCCGAGAGTGTTTTTCGTGGCGTCGTGCGGCCAGTGCTGTGGGCCGCCCGCGAGGTCGCGCGCCTCGCCACGAGGAGGACGACCGACCGACCGACCGTGAGGACGGCGAGGACGAAGAGGGTCGTCTAGCGGTTGGTGCGCGAGTGTAAAGCGAGAAAAGTCGAAGGGACGGCGCTCCAGACGTGAGCGAGAAAGGAGAGGAGAACGTGGTGTGTGCGAGTGTAGGCGAGCAAGAGATACAAAGAAGAGGAAAGACCGAAAGGACTTTTCCAGCTCGGCCGCTGGAGCGAGTGAGAGGGAAGAGAGGAGGCATAGGTGAGGAAGAGGAGTCGCGCGTGTGTGCGTAGACGCCCGCCCGTGTTGGAGAGCCCGAGCCGCGGAGCCTACCCCGAGTAGGCGCCCTCTCGCCCGGGTATCACAACGATGAATTCGCGAAACATCCCCTCGGACAAGGTAAGTCCTGAGCGTCGCTCAGTCGGTTCGCTTACTTTTCTACATCATTCTTTCGTAAGAGCAAAAGGGGACGTGCGGCGCGCGCTGATCTTGGACGTCGAGGCCGATCTTTCTTGACCCACTTACGGGCCTTGGCATCGTCCTCGCCGAGACGCCGCCGTACGTGCCCGAGATGAGCCTCTACACCTATCCAATGTTCTTCCTTCTAGTCACCGTCATAGTTATCGACGTCATTGTCGACGTCGTTGTCGTTGTTGTTATTGTCGTTGTCGTTGTTGACGTTATCGTTATCGTTATAATCGTGGTCATAGACGTAGCGATAGTTGTACTCATGGTCATAGTGGTAGACTTAGTTATTATCATTATCGTCATTACTATTATCGTCCCGTCGTGGTCGTAGTTGTCGTCTACGTCGTCGTCGTCTACATCGTCGTCGTCCTCTACGTCGTAAGCGTTGTCGCACTCGTAGTTGAGGTCGTGCTCGGTCCGCTCCCACCTTGTTCTCTATTCACCACTACGACCACCACCACCACCACCTCCACCACCTCCACCACCACCACCACCACTGCTACTACTACAACTACTACTACTACCACAACCATCACCACAACCCCCCTCACTCCAACCCGCCCTTTTTCTCTCGCATGGCCTTCCCGCCACCCACATCTCCCTCCCCCCTTCTTGGTCCCCCCTCCTGGTCTCTTGGTCTCCCCATATCGCCCACCTACAACACCCCAATGCACGCGAAATCGATGAAACTGCTGCTGCCGCCTCTTCCTTGGCAATCCTTTCTCTCTACTCATCGTTCTTTCACCCCCCTCCCCCCTCACTCGAGACTCTCTAGCTCTCTCGCTCTCTCGCTCTCTGTATCTTTCTCTGTCCAGGAGATGCATTCTCCGGTAGTCGATTGGAGGGGGAAAAAGAAACAGATGGATATTTTCTAGATAGAAAATTCCTAGGGGTTCCATTTTTTTCCGTTTTCCCTTTCGTTCTTGAATTCTCTATCAAATGGGACTACCGCACGCACGCACGCACGCACGCATACGCGCGCAGATGGACCACGGATTAGCGCAATGACGCAAAGCGACGACGTCGGCAGCGACCGTGGCAATTCGTAGCGCAAGGAGACGCTCGTCGTCATCCCATTTCCTTTTATTTTTCTTAACGCGAGTCCTTGCTCGACCATCCCCTCCCATTCTCGTTGCGCGCCATAATCCGCTACGGCAGAGGCGAGGTCGCGGCCACGGAAAACGATCTTTTCTACCGAATGCCGTCGTCCTGTGTCGCGGCCATCAATTATTATTCATTAACAGGCGCCGCGTTCGCTCGCAACTAACGACTCGCGCTGTCGAGGCGACAAGAGAGATCCTCCGCCCCCCC